GCTCTGAGGCGCGTCGCCGCGGCGCGCTCCGAGGGCGCTAAGCTGGCGGCCGCCCAGCAGCAGCGCGCCGACGCCGCCGAGGCGCGCGCGGCGGCGATGCGCGCGCAGCTTTCCGACGCGCGGCGCGAGGCGCGGCGCATGCGGGAGGGGCGCGACGCGGCGGCCGCGCGGCTGCGGCAGGCGGAGCGGCGGCACGCGGAGGAGGCCGCCGCGGCGGCCGAGGAGGCGGGCCGGCTGTTGGAGGCCGCGTGGGGGGAGCAGCAGCGAGGGGAGGCGGCGGCGGCGCGGGCCATCCAGGAAAAAGAGAGGCTCCAGGGGCTGCACGAGGATCTGAAAGCCATGCAGGCGAGGCTGGTCAAGGAGGGCGCGTCTGCGGACGAATTCAAGCGGCGACAGCTGGAGGACTCGCGCCGCGTGCACCTCCGGCAGGCGCAGGCGGCGCGCGCGGCGGCCGACGCGGCGCGGCGGGAGCTGGAAGGACGCCTGGCCGCGGCGCTGGTGGAGGGGGCCGCGCTGAGGGCGGCGCTCGCCGAGGCGCAGGCGGCGGCGGCAGCGGCGGCGTGGGGCTCGCGGGAGGGGGAGGGGCGGCGCACGCCGCACCTGCAGCGCGGCAGCGCGGGCGGGGCGTCGGTGTCGGCGCTGCTGGGGCATGGCTGCGGAGGCGCCGGGAGAGGATCTGAGGTGGCGGAATCTGAGGTCGTCATTGGTTGTGGCAGCGGCGATGGGGACCAACAAGAGGAGGCGGAGCCGGGCTGTTCGACGCCCCCGCGGCGCCGCACGTGGGACCTCCTTCTCAGCAGCTTCCGCAGGGGCAGCTTCCGCAGGGGCAGCTTCCGCGGGCGCGGCGACGGCGGCAGTGCTGACGACTGCGGCAGCGCGGCGCAGGGGCCTGGCAGGGCCGGCGGCGAGGGGTCACGTTGGCCGTCGCTCAGGCAGTCCCTGAGCGTGCGGCTGGGCCCCTGAGGCATTGGCAGTGGCGGGGCGGCCGTTCGCTGTGCTGCGTCGTAGTGCACACTGACGCGTGTCCGCTGCTCTGGCATGATAGCTGGTCCGAGCGGAGCCCAACTCGCCATGTAAGATGGGTGCGTGTTCGTTGCTCAGCAATCCTTTGGAGGCAAGTTACACGCCCCGGGGGCCTGAGATCACTAACATGACTCATAAAGCTCAAAGGATGAACGCACATAGCCGACCCAGCGCATCGCGCTGCAGACGATGCAGTGACAGGGGGGGGGGGAGGGGGGAGGTGCTGACGTCATGATGACGTCACGTGGTGCGGTGCAGCATCTCCTCCACTGCGCTCTTGAGCTCCCCGCCGGCCTTCATCTCGAGAACGATGTCGCAGCCGCCCAGGAGCTCCCCGTTTACGTACAGCTGCGGTCGCGATGCGATCAGATGCGATGCGATGCGATGGGGGTGGGTCGCAGGGTGAGGGCCGAAGCTACCGGCGTGCATACCGGTCAGGGTTCAGGGTCTGAAGGTTTGGATTTTGAACCCTAAACCCCCAGATCCACGACCAGGATGCCCACCTGGGGGAATGTCGGCCAGTGGCCGTACTCCTTGAGGCCCTGGCGCACCTCCTCGTCCTTTGGGGGCGTTTTTGGGGGGGTTTCATTTCGGTTTATAGAGTTGAATGAATTGGGAGAGCGATAAGAAATGCACTCGGGGTGTGTTTGTGAGAAAGTGTATGCGAGGGCTCGTCTGGCGACGGCGCGGCCCGCAGCTGCATCGGTGAGCTCCAGCCCTGGGCTCGTCCCTGTTTCTCCCCATATTCCCGGCCTCGCACCGCGCGCCCGCCCCTTTCCTCGCCTTGCCACACCTCGGCCCCTCCAGGCC